CATTTTACAAAGTATCTTTTATGATTAAATTGAATAACAAAGTCAAGTAATTAGATATCTCTGGCAGAAAACATGTTATTCATTTACAGTTATTATTATTTTCATTCTTAGTGATATGATCATGAATATTAAACATAACATCAATGAATAGCAAACTAAAAATGTTGTCCTTTTGTGTGTGTTTAATCTGAGTGGATTGCTTTTTCCTTCTGTGTCAGATCTATAGTGAAATTTCATCCCTTTACATCCTTCCTCAGATGTTTCAGACTTTCTGTTGGCAAACATGTCAGTGCATCCAAGCACAGATTTCCTCTATCAGTCATTTATCTTCAATGTAACAAAGTTAGTTTAATTCAAAGTTTTTAACAAGCATGTTTTGACAACCTGCCGTTAGCAAGGTGCTGTGATGGTTTCTGCACATACAGAGCTGTAGAACTGGCTCCTGCTTTGGCAGAGCTGAATTTTAAGGGGAGAGCAAAGTCGCAGTCAAGAGACCATGAAGACACAGCCAAATCTTGTTCCCTATAGTAGCTGATTCTCTGCCTGGAAAGAAAACGCTAATGTTTGAGATTACTCCCACCAAAGCCAGTCTTTTTGCATGAGTTGAGGAAAAAAGAAAATGGTAGGATAAATATGAGGAAAGGAAACAGAGAAAAGCAGGAAGACAATCAAAGTGAAATAAAAATGAGAAGTAAGGAAATAAAGTGGATGAAAGTATGGACAACAGAAGAAGTAGAGGGTTGGAAGCTCTAGTCAGGCAGTGGTAAATCGAAGGGCTTTATTGGAGCAACATGGAATTTTTGCTGCTGACTTGGGACAATCTAATAAAGACAGAAAGCTCTGCTGGCCGGGTTTAAGGAAGGGACGACAACACTATTCCTTTGAAGACATGGAGCTATTTAGCTCTGGTGGTGTAGAACCTCCCCAGAGAGTTGTTTGAACCCCCGTGTAATTTCCCCCAGAGAGGTTAGGGACAGCTAGCCTATGTCATAGATGCATAGCAAGAAGCCACTACAGTGAGAACCAGCAATGTGGTCAGACTGTGGATGGTCTATATCAGTCACCAATGAAGTGGGGATCACCTGATTTCAGACAGTGTCTACCCATTGTTACATGTAGTTGGGATGTCTTAATATCTCTTTTAATCTATAAGAGTTCCCATTCTCTTATTTTTTCCCTTTCAATTTTTGCAGAAAATGGTATGTCAAGTACTATGTCCTATCTGTTTTTTAAAGTTTCATTCATAGATGACTTTTCTGAGCATCAAGAATGGGAAAGTTCCACTGACCCTGTAAGCCAGCGTGAAGCAAACTAACCCTTCAAACTGGGCACGTGAAATAGCAAGATATCTACCAGGTAGCTATTTTCTCAAGACAGGAATGAGGTGATTTCAAGAAGGGAAGGCAGAAAGAGTATTTTATAGATTCCACAAATAATCATTGAAGTGGATGTGAAATAATGTATAGATGGACATTAGAATAATATAAGTCCATTTCTTTTCCCACCTATACCAAAAATAAGTTTTGGTCTATTGTTAGGGAAAAGGGTGTCATGAAAGAATACAGATAGATCTGTGAGAAGAGTTAACAAGGACATTTGTAGGCAGGGATTGCCTTCTGGTGAGAGAGTCAGGGACAGTCTTAGTGTGAGGCAAATATTCCCAGGGATCCTAAGTATATGGTTCAAAAAGTGGGTTCCTTTTCTTGGGGGTTAGGATTCCAGTTTGGGGGTGAGGATGCCTTGCCTATTGACTGCCTGTGTATTGATTATCTTTATGCTTTTGAGAAAGAAGTGGAACAAAATGTAGGCTCCTGAAGGAGGAACCAGTTATGTCTTTCAGCCCTAGTAACACAAGCAGGTGATAGCTGTGGGCCCACGTGATGTAAGGGAGCAGTATGACCTGGAGAGTCTGGGAAACCTGGTTGGCACTTTCTGGTGTGTGAGGTCAGTAAATATTCTGATTCTATGTTGAACCGTAATTGTGCCCTGTAAGTGGAATTCTAAAGAGGTTCATTTTCTATAGTGAGTCATAGGGTACTTTCAGTAATGATAACTTTAAAAAGGAAATCAATATTTAGTTTAATTTTCTCTCTCTTGATGTGTAATTTCTTTCAGTTGCCTCCATCCTTCTGTAAAAATCGATACAGCTGTTCAACCTTGTGTGATGATACTTGGGCAGTGTGATGTGTGATGATTAAAGAATGGGCAGTAGAGGAAATACATCCTGAAACAGAGTAACCCTTTTTTGGTACCAGTGCACAGACAGCAAGCAGTGTGCTATTAGGGTGACCATGTCCTGGCATCCAGGGGGAGAGAAGCAGTGATGCAAAGTTTTCTTATACAGGAGCTGGGAATAGTGGAGTGGACTGCAGTGAGGACTGTGATGTAATGGCTGTGTGAATGATCCAGGAAGAGACATGAGAAAATCCCTTTACACGTAGACTTGAGAAAGATAACAAGAAATTGGGAGGGAACTTGGCACCTGGAGTACGTGTTCAGATCAAATTCTAAGTCCCAGTTGCACATTCCTTGGTAGGGACTTCTGACTTGGCTTGGGTAAGATGCCAAGACCTAGACCATCAACCAATAGCCCGTTAGCAGAAAGGTTAAGCCTTAACTTGCCTACTCCTGCAGACATGGATGGGGAAGTGGGGAGTAGTTGTTAAAATGGGAGAGGGTTTCCTGCAGATATATCATAATTTATTTTTTTCCAATCCCTTACTGAAAAGCACATTTGTTTTTTAAAGTATAATTCCTTGCTTGTAAGAAGTGGAATTCTGGGCCAAAGAATACACAGTGAGATGCTTGATGTATATCTGCATACAGTATTGCCTTTCCAAAGATCCCTTCAGATTCATTCCCGAAAGCTGGGTTGTGGAGTTACTACTTTACCAACATTGGATCAAATGAAAAAGTTTAATATAGGTCACTAAGGTAGTCAGAGTTATGTCATGGTTTCACTTTGCATTTCGTTGATGTTAATGAGCCCTGACCTGGGTCCCGGCTCTCCTTTCAGGCACAGGCCCACCTGTACCACTTCCAGTCCTGACTCCACACACCCAAATCAATTCCACAGGCAGAAAATAAGGAAACAGGCTTTAATCATTGTGCACAATTGGAATACATAAGAAGCATGAGTACAGGACTCTGAGTACGAGAAAGCTCCTTAAGATAGTATGGATTCCCTGAAGAGAGATTTCTAATTGAGAGGGCTGTCAGTAATCCAGGAAAGGAGGGACAAATAAGGACTGGTCTGCCCCACAGAGTCCTCCAGGCTCATCCCAGAGCAAGGCGGGGCCCAGGGGAGAAGTCCAGGCCAGGGCATGGGTTGAAGGGGCGCCGTGGGCCGGACAGAAGAATGCGACTCCTTTCCTTGCCGAGCTCCACAGGGTTTCAAGCCTCCACAGGGCTTCCGCAGCTTCGGGGTAAGGGATGGGGATCGTCCTGGGCTCCTGGAGGCCATCTGGCCGCGTGTCTGTCTGCCTCCGCTGCTGCGGGCATCTCCTGGCTGTTCAGGCCCGATTGTGCCCTGCGGTGTGTGGCTTCGGCCTCTTCTTGACGGGACTGTCGCTCCACCCCGGGTTAGCCGTTGGCTCCTGGGCTTGTGGGTCTCGCCAGCGTTTGTGGCCGCTCTCCGCCTGGCGACCGTCTGCGTGTCCGGGGCAAGCGCGCCGCGGCAGCTCACATGCACAGTAGTGCGCGTCCTCGCAGAACTGGGGGCTTTGGCAGGAGGGGCGGCTCAGCGCAGGGAAGTTATCCAGAGCCCAGGCCCAGGCCTGTTCTCGGTTGAGGCCCGGTGGCATGTGGGGCTCTGGATGCGCCCTCCTCCAGGACAGCTCTTCCCAGGTGTAGTACGCGTGTGGTTCCATGGCTTCAGCCTCCTCCCAGGCCAGACGCGTAGCGGGTCTAAGCAAAGGGGCGAATGATTCAGCCCCATGCTGAGTGTGCCTTTTATAGGGTCTGTCTAGTACAGAAGATCGGAAAGCCAAGTCCAGATAAGTGGGGATAGACACTCATTTGCCTTGCAAATTGCCTCGGAGCCTCGCAGATTAAGGAGAAAACTGCATCTTGCTGGGAGGGGTTTGGAAATTCCGAGTGGTTTTGCTGATTGAGTTAAAGGAGAGGGATGGGAGGAGAGGAAGGTCCCTGTGGAGAGAGGAACATTCCTGGTGGTTTCCATTCACTCTCTGCTTGGGAGGCACACCTAAGCAAAGTCACTGGGTTGGAGTGGGGAGTGCAGCGATCACGCCCCTCCCGAATCCGAGAGCGCTCAGTCCATCCTATCAGGGCAGGGTGGCTGGTCTCCCCGGCCGCTAGTCCAGGGTCGTTATCCCCTTGGCTTCCACGCCAGCAATCTCACAGCAGGTCAGCTCGGCCAGTCGCTGGCAGGCACTGGGCAAGGGGGTTGCAGCGGGTCGGAGGGGTAAGGGACACTTGCTGGGATTTGGTTAGCGCCTGAGGAAGCCTGAACTTCTGGGCAAGTTCGGGGAGGGTGTTGGGGGAATGCGGTGGAGGCGGCGCCAGAGCCGCCTGCAGATGCCTGGAGAGCCCTGAGATGGACTCGGGGCCAAAAAGGGCCAGGGCCACGGAGGAGGGACGCTTCCCGGGCGAGTGAAGTCCTCGGGGCTGCGGGCGGCCCCTCTGCTGTTCTTGGAGGCCCAGCCTGTATCCGGGAGTCACACGAGAGGCCACGCTCCACCATCCCCGGCTCCGTGTGCACAGACGACCCCAGCATCCGCCGGCGCCCAGCAAAGCCGGTGACCCAGTATCCCGCCCGGGAACCGGCAGCGGCCACCGCTGCCCGTGAGCCTTGTCTTCCCAAATAGACAAACCAGGGACTCACGGGACAAATAACAGACTGTGACATCGTTTTTCGTCATCTTTACTGACTAGCGAAAGGAAAATTAAAGGAAAGGGCTCTGAAGACAAAGAGCTTCCATCCTTGTGGAGCAAAGGCAGAGACGATGCTGTAACATAATTTGTCCGCGGAGATGAGGGACTCAGCGCAAATCTCGGGGCTCCTGGCAGCCCTGGGTCTTCCGGGCCACTGCGCGTCGGATCCGCTGCCACCAGCCTTGGGACGTGCGGCGGGTCCCGGGGGCAGGAGCCGGGCGACGCTCCATAGGGTCCCCGCCGTCAGCGTTCTCGGGCTCCGCTCGTCCGTCCGGGAAGCGGTGCCACCCGCCGAGGGAGGCTGCGGGGCCGGCGGCCGCCTCTCCTGGGGCGCCTCTGGGTCCGGGTGGGTCGCGGGCGTCTGGTCCGGGGCAGGTGGCTCTGCGTCCCGTCGCGAGGGCTTCGGCCTCCAGCAAAGTGTCTGTTTCGCGAACGGCCCCAGCGCAGAAGCCCGCCGCAGGGACTGGAAAGCATTTCCCAGTCGAAGTCTGGGCCTTCCCAGGAGAGCTCGCACGGGGCGGGGTAGAAAGGGAGCGTCCAGGGCTCAGAGTCGGCTGAGCTCGGGGCTGGCGACGTCTGGGGCTCCGGCGCCCACAGCCGGGAAAGGGCTGCACCATTGCGTGGGTCTCACACCGGGCGATACCGAGTGTCTGGGATTCGGAAGCCCCCAGCCCGCGAGTTTTTATGCTCTTTTGGCCTCCTGGCCAGATACGAGGAGTTTGGGTGGTGACATTAATCCTACAAGATAATTGCATCAGAAGACCTGATAATATTAATACAAAAACCAATCGTCTTGGATAAAATGATTCATGGTCAAATCTCTTCAAGATACAGATTCCGGTTGAAAAGGAAAAGTATTAGCACACTGGAGGGGGGAAATGTTTGGGCGGACACTGGGGTGTAGAAAGCTCCAAATTGCTTTCTTGGAACAGAAACCGAAACCCAGATCTCCAAGCACAAGAATGCTTTCGGGGAGAGGGAGGCGTGTGGCGGAGAAGGGGGCAGAATGCCAAAGGCGGATTTTCCAAGTGAAAGAAGGGCAAGGGTGGTGACCCAATTCTAAACTTGAACTTTCACTCTCCTAATGCTGTCTTCTCCAGGTAAATTGCTCAATTCAAAGGAATTAAGACTGTGTTCAGACCAGTGTCATGACAAGAAGCCCCAGAAATGGACTGCTTGGGTGGAGGGGCAGTTCCACCCCTCTCTGAATGAGTGACTCTCAGCAGATTATCCCTTCTCTCTAGGCCTTCTTTTGTCATCTCTGAAATGGAAGTCATTACAAAGCAGCTTTCATGAATGTATCCAATCATAAAAGTAAATAGGATTACCTGGCAGAAATTTATTTACCCAATTATTACCATTATCATATTAAGGATATCATCATGGATACAATTCCAATCTTAATGAGAATAAATGTTAAACACTGCCTTTTGAGGGGAGTTTTTTCCTTGTAAATGGATTTTTTCCTAGGCATATCATATCTATGGTGTATTGCACTGTAATGCATCCTTTTCAACCTGTTGAGAGAAGTATAAGTGGATACATTGTAGATTTCCTTGACTAGGAATTTATTTTACTGTGATAAATTATAGTGATTCCTAAGACTTAGGAAGCACATTTTGGTGTTCTTCCCTGTACCGGGTACTGTGATTGGAGCCACACACAAAAAGATGAAAATCTGGGGGCTTCCCTGGTGGCGCAGTGGGTAAGAATCCGCCTGCCAATGCGGGAGACACGGGTTCGAGCCCTGGTCTGGGAAGATCCCACATGCCGTGGAGCAACTAAGCCCTTGTGCCACAACTACTGAGCCTGCGCTCTAGAGTCCGTGAGGCACAACTACTGAGCCCACGTGCCACAACTACTGAAGCCCGCATGCCTAGAGCCCGTGCTCCGCAACAAGAGAAGCCACTGCAATGAGAAGCCCACGCACTGCAACGAAGAGTAGCCCCTGCTCGCTGCAACCAGGGAAAGCCCGCGCAGCAATGAGGAACCAATGCAGCCAAAAATAAATAAATAAAATAAATAAATTTTAAAAAAATGATGAAAATCTGGCTACACTTTTCAGTCCTTACATCTTAATGAGAGAGCAAAATGGCAGTCAAGAGACCATTCACGAATACAGCAAAGGGACTTCCCTGGTGGTGAAGTGGTTAAGAATCCACCTGCCGATGCAGGGGACACAGGTTTGAGCCCTGGTCCTGGAAGATCCTACATGCTGTGGAGCAACTACGCCCTGTGACACGACTACTGAGCCTGCACTCTAGAGCCCGCGAGCCACAACTACTGATCCCGTGTGCCACAACTACTGAAGACTGCGCACCTAGAGCCTGTGCTCTGCAATAAGAGAAGCCACCGCAATGAGAAGTCCAAGCACCACATGGAAGAGTAGCCCCCGCTCAGCAACGAATACCCAATGCAGCCAAAAATAAATAAATAAATAAATAAAAAGAAAAAGAATACAGCCAAGTCCATGAGCATTGCCATAGCTGATTTGATGACCAGAGAGAAACATTCTAAATGTGATGCCTCCCTTCAAAGCCAGATTTTTTTTGTTCCCTGTCCTATACAGTAGGTCCTTGTTGAATATCAATTTTATGTATAGTAGTGTGCATACGGTAATCCCAAACTCCTAATTTATCCCTCCCCTCCAGGCTTTCCCCTTTAGTAACCATAAGTTTGTTTTTGAAGTCTGTGAGTCTGTTTCTGTTTTGTAAAGAAGTTCATTGGTATCATTTTTTTAGATTTCACATATAAGTGATATCATATGATATTTGTCTTTCTCTGACTTCACTTAGTATGATAATCTCTAGGTCCATCCATGTTGTTTCAAATAGCATTATTTCATTCATCTTTATGGTTGAGTAGTATTCCATTGTGTATATATATATATATATATATATATATATATATACACATACATCTTCTTTATCCATTCGTCTGTTGATGGACATTTAGTTTGCTTCCGTGTCTTGGCTAGTGTAAACAGTGTTGCAGTGAACATAGGGGTGCATGTATATTTTCAAAGTATGGTTTTCTCTGTACCTATGCCCAGGAGTGGGATTGCTGGGTCATATGGTAGTTCTATTTTTAGTTTTTTAAGGAACCTCCATACTGTTCTCCATAGTGGCTGTACCAATTTACATTCCCACCAACAGTGTAGGAAGGTTCCCTTTTCTCCACACCCTCTCCAGCATTTATTGTTTGTAGACTTTTTTTTTTTTTGTTTTTTGTTTGTAGACTTTTTGATGATGGCCATTCTGACCAATGTGAGGTGATACCTCAATGCAGTTCAGATTTGCATTTCTCTAATAATTAGCGATATTGAGCATCTTTTCATGTGTTTTTTGGCCATCTGTATGTCTTCTTTGGAGAAATGTCTATTTAGATCTGTCCAGTTTTTGACTGGGTTCCTTGTTTGTTTTGTTTTGTTTTTGATATTGAACTGCATGAGCTGTTTGTATGTTTTGGAGATTAATCCCTTGTCTGCCACTTCATTTGCAAATATATTCTCCCATTCTGTGGGTTGTATTTTCGTTTTGTTTATGGTTCCCTTTGCTGTGCAAAAGGTTTTAAGTTTAATTAGGTCCCATTTATTTACTTTTGTTTTTATTTTCATTACTCTAAGAGGTGGATCCAAAAAGATATTGCTGCGATTTATGTCAAAGAGTGTTCTGCCTATGTCTTCCTTTAAGAGTTTTATAGTATCTGGTCTTACACTTAGGTCTTTAGTCCATTTTGAGTTTATTTTTGTGTATGGTGTTAGAGAATGTTCTAATTTCATTCTTTTACATGTCGCTGTCCAGTTTTCCCAGCACAATTTATTGAAGAGACTGTCTTTTCTCCATTGTATATTTTTGCCTCCTTTGTCATAGATTGATTGACCATAGGTGCGTGGGTTTATCTCTGGGATTTCTATCTTGTTCCATTGATCTATATTTCTGTTTCTGAAAGCCAGATTTTTATTGTTAACTTCAGGAGGAAAAAGACCATAGTAGAAATAATAAATGCTAAGTAACAAAACAGAAAAATCAAACAACAGAACAGACAGTAAAGATGGCAGATGACTGAAAGCTCAACTAGTTGAAAGTTTTATGAGGGCAGTTTAGGACACTCGCAGCTGAGGTGAAGATTCAGACAAAGATACTCAGAATAGAAGAGCTCTGCCTTGGTGGATGGAGGATGAGGCCAACTCAGAATTGTTTGAACATAGTCAAAGCTGAAATCCAAGGCAGAGGGGAAGCACAGCTAGTTTGTGGTGTGGGTACACCCAGAAGAAGTCACTGCAGTTGAGATCCAGCAATGGCGTTCGTCTGCAGATGCTCAGTATCAACAACCAACAAGGTGCAAAGTATACGACAATAATAGCAGGGCAGGAATGAAGAGGTATCTGGGCACTCTAATATGTGATTGTTATATGTCCTGAAAATATTCACATAGTACGCTACCAAAAATGGTTGTTAGGAAGGATAGTACACGGAAACAAGAAAAATTTCTATTCATTAGATTACAGACTAGGAGACCGTAATATCAAAGTCTAAAATTCAGAAGTACTGAATATCTATGTACAAGCAATGTCAGCTCTGCAAATCAAAATGATAAAGCAGGCAACGCAGAGGAAAAATGTGAAAGAAGGTAGCAACAGTCAATCCATATTTGATCAACACAGAATGTCTAAAACTTAAATGGAGTCTGAAAATCATTATATGTAAGGTAAATATTAATTAAAACTGTGAAAGCATCGAAAGGGAAAAAATTAGAAATGTAGATTATGCAAAGAGCTGGTGAGGATTTGCTGTAAACTGACCTCTCAAGAGGCCTGGTGTTACTATTAATTCTGAAAAGCAATATGGCAGTATTTGTGGAAGTTATGTAGGCTTTTGTTCATTGTCCCTCTAAACCCCCTCCAGCATCTATATCCCAGAAAACATCTCATACAGGTCCCTAAAGTACACACATAATGGTGTTTATCTCATTTTTGTTTGTGATAAAGGGGAGTTGGAGGCATCCATGATGTGTATGTAAAAGGCTGTGTATTCATTCTATAAAATATTCTGCAGCACTTAGATGAAATAAACAAGTTTTATATATATAGCTATATTGATTAATCTTAAAATTATAATCATTAGTGAAAAATTAAACAGAAAGAGACATGTGTCAGCGTACCATTAAATACATTAAAATGCATTCATACACTCAATATAAATTATATATGGAGACACATAATTACATTTAAAATCCACTAATTCAATTAGTTATCTCTTGCTCTGTAACAAACGACTCCAAAATTTAGCAGCTTACCAAAAATATTTATTATCTCACGGTTTCTGAGAATCAGGAGTCTGGAATAGCTTAGCTGGGTGGTCTTGCTCAGAGTTCCTCATGAAGGTGCAGTCTGAAGCTTTGCCTTGGGCTGGAGGATCACCTTCTAAGCTCCTTCCTGACAAGAGGTCTCAATTGCTTAACACAAGGGCCTCCCCACAGAGCTATTCATGATGTGGCAGCTGGCTGCCTCCAAAGGGGATGATCTAAGAGGGAGGAGATAGCATGGTAGAGTGATCAAAATGGAACCAGTAGCATCTTTTGTAACCCAATCTCAGGAGAGACATTATCATTTCTA